TCCAGGCATTGCTTCATTTCTAAGGCGTCCTTCATTTTATTGATTTAAGTTTTATTACAGTAAAAAATTTTTAAAAACAGTTACATTTAATTTTTTTACTATAATAAAAAGTTCTCACATAAAATCACATCTCAACTCGAATCAGCGAACTAAACGAGCCATAAATCTGACAGTGATTAAAATCTCGTTTCCTTGTCTAGTGAGACCCGTCACCGTGCCTGATTTAGCCTTAAGCCTAAACCTCGTTTCCTTATCTGCTCCCATCTGGTCGGTTTGAACAAAACCAAGACTCCAAACCCACATACGTATGTATGTATATGTGTAAGATTTTTTGTATATATAAAACGCAAATCCAGATAATTATGATGGAAGAAAGACCACGTGTCCTTGAAGCATTGGTGCACGTGTTTATTAAATCAGTCATAATGAAGACATGATTCAAAGTTTCAAACCTACAAGCTCTATAGTTAGCTAATAAGATTCTAAACGATGAATATTAGAAAAGGAAGGTTTGGATGATTTCTTTTTTTTTTTTTGGTATTTTATATATAATAGGTAATTTGGGGCTTTATACATGAAGATATTGTTGGAGGGAATTTTTGAAACAATAAAACAATCATTAAAATCACACTGATTTTGACTGAATGTGCTCAATACGTCGGCATATATGCTTTGCAAAAAAAAAAAAATACCAAACTGTTAGTGATCAAGTTGCGTTAACTGGGATCAGTGGATGGTGGTGGCATCCAAATAAGTGAATGTTTGATATAAGGATTCTGAACTTGAAATTATAATTCTGGGTTTAAATTAGTGTTTGTTTATAAAAAAGTGTTTCTGATTTAACTCACTCAGAATTATTAGACGGTTCTGATTCAAGATTTAAATTCTAATGTGATTTGACTCGCCCATCAAAGATCTATGCTCGATGGCGGCTGATCTCTAAGCTTTAGCAACGATGGCGGCGGCTCTCCAAGCTTCGACGAAGATGGCGGGGGTCGTGGCACCAGATCGGCAAAGAGAGAGAGGTAGGGAGAGAGAGAGAGGCTGTGTTACAGAAGAGAGAGAGAAAGCACTGATAGAGAGAGACAGCTAGGTTGGGTCTGAGGTAAAGGAAATAATGTAACCCTAATGAAAAGGGTAGATTTGGAAACGACTAATGTATTTTAGAATGAAAATTAATGATATATTATAATTTACTATCATTTAAAAAATATGCTATTTATTTTAAACATAGATATCAAATATGCTATACGGTATATTTTCCTTCTTTTACTAATTGCGAGACAGAAATAGAGGTATATATAGCAACTATTATATGGTTAATAATTAATACAATTTTCTTGTCTAAGCTGCTTTCATAATCGGTGACGTGAAGTCTACAAGGAAGTAGGGGGTGGTTAAAGAAAGGTTGAGAAAGACCAATAAAATGAGCTTCGGATGTGTAAAATTTTGGTTGGTTTTGCAGAGTCACATTTTGTCCGGGCCAGTTCAACTGCATTTTAGTCTCTTGTTGAAAGAGAACCGACAGAAGAAATAGAATTAAAAAATTTGAGAGAAAGTAAAAATCAAGAAGGAAATTAGGTAATAAGTAAAACAAACTTATAAAAGTCTCATTTAGGCTCTAGAGTGCAGGAAAATCTTCCTAATTAAATAATAATTAATAGAACTTGCATATATAGCAGTTTCATGACTCTTTGCATGGCTTAGGACTCGTTCAGTTCGCTGATTCGAGTTTTTAATTCGAGTTGAAATGTGACTTTATGTGATAACTTTTTGCTATAGCAAAAAAGTTAGATGTGACTGATTCTGAGAGCTTTTTACTGTAACAAAACTCGAATCGGTAAAATAAACGGGGCCTAAGAAGGTAACCTATCGTTAGGAGGGCATACAGGTTTATGTGTTACTTATGATATAGCAATTTATAATTGTTGCCATAGAGTGCTCAATTTTTTTTAAGCATTGTTTTTCATTACTACGGTGCATCACCAAGAGCGATAATATAGCACTTCAAAAAAAAATTTGGTATAAAATTTTGGTATATTTGTATTTGTCCCATACAAATCAACAATAAATTAATCAAAATTTCAGCAATGTTTCATTTTATTTTAAAGCGTTATGACTTAAACCCTACGATTCGAGACCAACATTAATAATAAAGAAAGATAGATAAATTAACACGTGTAAGATTTCTAGCCATCCATATAACATATTAGAATTACGTCTACTTTCTGTCGTTATAGAATTTCACTACACCGAAGAAGAATATTAACTATAATATAATTGAGAGAATCACCCAAGCCCTTAATTTTCGTACTCTAATCTCTAATATCTCCACAATAAAAAAATCAATCCGCATATAAACTCTGGAGACAATAATTAAATTTCACACACTCAAAGTAAAGAATCGGGACTCATATCGTATTCGTGTCCTAGTTTGGAGTATGCGTTTGGTTAGTCTATTCATGTCATGATTTGAATTATAATTTGTGATTTATAACAGTATTTTTTCACACAAAAAATACACATAAATTAAGAATAATTTTAAATTATAATTCTAAATTCATAAACCAAACATCTATTAATTGACTACTGACTGCACCGTACAATCAGTGAATTTTTTTCAACAACATTATAACACATTTGATTTTCAAGAAAATATATATATATATATATATATATATATGTATATATATCACATTTGATTTGTACTTTTCAATCTCAACTATGGTCCGATTTGATCGAAGTGTCGAGGAATGAGTGGACAGAGGCCTTTTAGAGGATAAAAATAGAGAGATAGGTTCAACATTTTTGCCCCACTCTTATCCAATTTTTCCACAGCGAAGACTTCGGAGATTGAGAGCCTAAAACCATGTGATCAATATCTCTGCATAGCTATCACATTAATAAACAGCTTTTTTTTTTTTTTTTTTCGTTTTTGGGGCTAAAAATTATTAAGGAATATACACCACAACAATAAGTCCAAAGGTGCATAAAAAGGAGGAATATTGAATAGTGCTTTTTAAAAAGTTTTTAGAAACAGTCACATCTAACTTTTTTATTACAGTAAAAAGTACTCACATAAAATCACATCTCAATTCAAATTAAAAACTCGAATCAGCGAACTAAACGGGCTATAATCTTTCAAATTTATCTTGAACAGATTCTTGCCGGTGGATCTTTTGGGACACATGTATATAGATAGGTTAGTTTGACTGCCACGATCGATAAGCTTTTGTGCTTCATGAACTAACCGGGCTAAATTTATGTTAAAAAAAAATATTAAAGAAATGTTATTTACACTTATTATTATTTTTTTCACTTTATTAACATAATATATTAGTGTTTAAATAAAAATTAAGATAATAGAATTTATTTATCAAATAATAAATACAGAAAATAATAAAAAAATGGCGCTAACATTTTTAAAAAAATTATCTAAACTAACTAGAGGGTACACTACTTCTCTTAAGTTTATGCTTGATAGATTGGACATGGTAAGCTATTAAAACTCCTCTGTAAATTTTTCTAAAATACATTCTGAATAGACTAAAGTAGGAGTGTTTTTTTAAGGGATTTATACCTCTGAACTTTTAAGAGTTGACAATTTGATCCATGAAATCTTTTATATATGATTAGTCTCTGAACCTTCTTTTTTTTTTGTTAAGTTTTGATTCTGACAATAAAATTAATTACAGTTTTTTAAATTTAATGGAGACAAAAAGTGTGCTCATTGCATAAAGCATTTAAAGTATATAAAAACAATCAATCTATGAGCAAAATGTTCTAATTTTTAAGTATTTTGATGAGCATTTTAATGTTTTGTGACGGACTTTCTTTTTTTTTTTTTTTGAAAAATATTAAGTTATCAAGTGATGGGCATAAGATTACCTTCATTAAAGTTTAAAATTTCATCAGTAACTTTTATGATCAAGTACAGAAATGGTCCAACAAAAAGCTCGAGAGGGGACAAAACTGTCACAATACTAATAGTACTACTCCAATGATTAACAGCTAGCGCCAAAAAACTTTTTTTTTAAATAATAGGATTTCTTATTTTTCTTCTTTTTTTATTATTTTAAGATTTCATGAAAAAAGAGCTCAATTTGAACATGTTTATTTTGACATAATTTACAAATTATTTACAGGGGTATTTTTCCTTGCTTGAAATAATATGGTCGCTTGATTAACCCTAGGAGCTCTTTGGAGTACTCAAGCAATTTTGACAATTTGATCTTGAAATTAATAAACTATACATATCAATAATTTCTATTACATGATCCACTAATCAACTATCGGAATATAACTTCAGCAATTAATTTTCTTTGGTTTTACTTTTACACTCCCTTTCAACAACTTTCTTGGACTTCACCCTACGCGTCCAGATTGAATATGATCATATATATATATATATGTGTATGTATATGTATTGCGTCCAGATTGAATATGATCATATATATATATATATATATGTATATGTATATGTATTGTATGCCGCTCCTTTTCTGTCTCTTTCTCACGTATCTTCCCTCAACAAAGAAACAAAATAAAAGCCCTACCTCATGTATATATATAAATTCAAATAGACATATTTACACGTGTACACCTTGGTTAATTACACGTGAATCCTTACACTAACAAAGTTAGTAACAACTAAACATTATTAAATTGTTTGTCAAATCCCATCAAATGTCTCTATGAAGCCAGCAGTAACCATTTTAGTAAGGTTGTCTCCTTCACAGAATTCTTATTTGGCACATCTGTGGGATATTGTCTCTCACTCATTATGTGAATTTTGAGCTGTCGTATATACGATAACCGTATGTCGCACATTCATATATTTTATTATATATATATACACGCACATACGTGTGTGTATATATATATATATATATATATAAATACCATAGAATGTCTTATAAATATCTTAGTCCCTTTGGCTTTTTCTTTTTTTGTTATTAACTAGAGAGAGAGAGAGAGAGAGAGAGAAGACATATATCGTCATGATGAAGAGGTTTCTTTCCTTGAAATCTTTGTCAAGAACAGTCCACATTAATGATCATGAAGAACACGGTCAAGATCAAGATGATGATCATGATCATCAATGTCAGCGGAAATACGATGATGATGATCAGAAAGACGTCGTCGGCCGGGTGGCTAATTGCACAACATCACTTACAGTGTGGAGAAAATCGCTTGTGATGAGTTGTAATGGCTTCACTGTGATTGATTCCCATGGAAATCTCATCTACAGGGTTGACAATTACATCGGCCGCCCCGAAGAAATTATTCTCATGGACGGCTCTGGAAGTTCCGTCCTTACAATGCGCCGCCATAAGGTAAACCTCGTATTTCTCAACCAGTTAAAAGTTTGACATGTAAAATAGCGTGTGACTGTAATAAAATACGCGCCGTCCTAATAAATATTAAAACAAAATTTGGTGTGGCAGAAGCTTGGACTAGTGGACAGCTGGTTAGTGTATGAAGGGGAAATTGGTGACCATCTTCAATATTGTAAACTGAACACTAGTGGTAGTAGTAGATCATCAAGATCAAAAAGGCCAATTTTTTGCATTAGGAAGAACATTAATCTTCTGATTAATGCTAAATCCAATGTACTTGCTTACGTATATCGCGACACGTCGGATAAGAGTTGTGCTTATGTGATTGAAGGTTCTTATACACACAGATCATGCAAGGTTTTGGATGGGTGCACTAAGAAAGTTTTGGCAGAGACCAGAAGGAAGGAAGAGATTGTTGGGGGTGTGTCTTATGGGGTTGAGGTTTTTCACTTGATTGTGCATCCTGGGTTTGATCCTGGCTTTGCAATGGCTCTTGTTTTACTTTTGGATCAAATGTTTTCTTAAGTTTTGTAAGTTTTCTTTTTCTTTCTTTTTTTTTTTTTTTCCCCTTATGTTATAGCTGAATTATCCAATTATAACAAATGTTTGTTTTTTATATTTATTTTTAATTTTAAATTATGATTCATAATATTTTTTATAATATTTTTTCCTTATAAAAAAATATATATATAACGAAAATAATTTTAAATTATTATTTTAAATCTATGAATTAAGTTTTTTAAAAATAATAAGCATAAAGAATAGAACCGAGTTTTTTTTTTTTGTTATGATCTCTTTCAACAGTAAGATGTTCTGCGTCAAATTGTCAATCAACTTCATATTTACGCATCAAAGAAAATAACTTCAATTAGTGTAGACAAGTCAAGTTTGCTTTAGAAGAAATTTGTCGGTCCATCTTGTCAATTTATATTTATTTATAGCGAAAGGAGAATATAATATCTAACGCATGCAAATTATTGATCACAATAATTTGTGGACAAGAAAGAAATGGAAATCAGTGCGAGTACTGCTTATCGTTTTCTTCCCCCCCTTTTTCTCTTTCTGCTTTTACTAATTTCAAAATTCAAACTGACAGCAAAAAATATACCATAAATATATGAGTATATATATATATATAATGGACCTCTCGCATGCTAAGCGAGTGCTCTACCGTGTGAGCTACATTCTCAAGACATCAGAAGAAGTATGTCGCCCTTTATTTTATTAATTTAGTTGAGTTCAATTCAATTTAAACAATGAACACAATTTAATTAACTTTTGATAAATATATAATTTAAATTATATTTCTCATTTAAATTGAGTTAAACAGCCCAATTTAAAATTTAATTACTCTTAAATTCAACCGTTCAAATCATTTTTAAATAATAAAAAGTGTCCACTCTTGTTGTTTTTTACACCTACCAAACTTTAAAATTTATTCTCTGTTCAAATTAAAATTTTAACTACACATTCAAACGTCAATTCAAACTATAATTTAAATTACAGTTTGAATTTTTCTGTTCAAATTAAAAAGTTTAAACTAACAAAATTTAAACCAACAAACCAAATGAGGGCTCTATTGTTTCGCGTTAAACAACTTCGAAATGTGTACAGATGAATAAAACAAGAAAAAGAGAAGATGAGGAACCAAATATCTTAGAACTGAAAATCCCTAAACAGAGTGAGAGAGAGAGACATGGGGATGCAAAGAATTCCCTGCTGCTGTGTTTTACAACTGTCCTAAATGGTACAAATGACAACCCCATTCATCTTGTGAAAAGTAGAACCCCCTGAAACAATCCCATTTCCAGTTACAAAGTTACAACATGGACGCTTACAACATTGAACATTGCCATTCCACCTACAGGATATATATACATAAAAACGACTACTTCCCAATGACCCCTCAATAGGGCGTTTAACAAATTAACAGCAATCGTCAGAAGGAATGAGCTTCTTATGTGAAAGGAAAAAAAAAATGACACTAATCAGTGTAGCCGGCCCCTTTTATCTGTTCCATTCAAAGGGCATTAACTTTCTTAACTTATGCGGACCATTGGAAGCATTGTCCGAAACTCTTACTGGTGGCGGGGGCATCATACATGATTGCTTTACAATGTTGGCGGTTGAATGTCTCGAGTCGGCAGCGACAGAGTCTTTGATTGTTTTTCCGGGAGACGATCTACTTGATCTGGGAGCAGACCAATTCACAGTGTCTCTTTGGATATGATTGAAATCCTTTTTGTTATTGATATGGGAGAGCTTAGGCTTCTTTAACGGGATTATCTCTTCACTTATAGCCAGGTTCTCGGACTGCAGCATTGAAACTGATGTTGCATGTCGTTCTTCAGATTTCTCATTAGATTTCAACTTGCGAGCCTTCATGGCCTTTTGTGAAGACTTCTTTGGCCACCTTAACATTCTATCAAGGTTTTGCCTCGAGGGATGAGTTGCAATGTCATACAGCGTTTGAGCAGCTGCTAATAGTTTTGGACAATGCCCAACTGTGACAGAATTAAGTATATTAAAAAAAAACAAGGGCAAAAGAAGCATATGGGAATTAGAAAACACAGCAATCACAGATTCCACTAGTAACGGACAGATAAGAGGACCGAACATCCAGTCCCTAATAAGTCTCAGGGACCACCAAATTATCAAGAGGTTTGGTGTTCAATTTGTACCAAAATTTCAATCACGTTCCAAATTCATGATCAGAAAATAAGAAAATCCAATAATTATTTAAATCTGGCGAGTTAGACCTTTAAAAATGTATATAATGCAGTTAAGATGTCTAGTGGTTGGTTCGTTTCAAGGGCCTAGAACCAGACGGGGGGCCACTTGGCACAACAGTTTGTGATATGGCAATTTTTTTTTTTTTTAAGAAAGCATTGTTGTACTTCGTATGTCACACTTTTCTACAAATAATTTCTTTTATAGGAGCTTCTCCATCATTATTTTCTCTCCTCCCTTCAACACCACTTGTGTCTTATGCATTCCCTTTCTCCTAGGGCTGTCAGGAACACATTTGCAGATGCACACGCACATACTAAAGAAATGTGTATACAACAACCAGCAAACATAACAATATCGTCAAGGGAATAGAAACCGTACCATTTCCTGGATGGTTCGTCTTGCCACCAGATTCTGCATTTCCAAGCAAATAAATAAATGTATAAAGCAATGTTCTAGTTGAAGCTCAAAGCAAAATAACTATTGTTATGACATGACAAAGACAAACTTTGATAAAAAACAAACTCATGAAAGCAACTTTTAAATACTTACCTAAAGTAACAGAAGGACCTTGTGAACATGATGCAAATGAATCCCACCCATGCCCAGTAAGATTACTGGATATTTGACGAAAATTTTCACGGTCTAAACAAGCCACTTTTAGTCCTGAAGGGACCAGACTCTGATCATAAGTTAGGGACTCCAAGTCGGTAAAATTACAAGTTGCAATATCCAAAGAACTTGTAACAATCTTGCCTATGCTTTGCCATCTACCTTGGCAAGTACCCTTACTTGTCGACAATTTAACTACATCGGAACTAGTTCTGCAGTGCCCACTGGAAGTATGTGACCAAGGAAAAGGGGGCAAGCTGACTCGGCGAGCTATTTGCTTTCCTGAACGCATATCAGGAGTATTCTTTGAAGCTAAAGCAGGCTTGGATGCATCCAGGAGCAAAGACTCCAAATCCTTCGGCGGAGGAAGTGCTAAGCATTGCAAAATGTCCAATGATTGATACAAGGGCAAATCAAGTGGATTAGCAGGAGTTTCGGACTTGATAAATGTGTCCTGGAACCACAGAAATGGATAAGAAAACCACATTACGACTAGCTTCAACATTGTTATAGACAAAGACACTGGGGCATTGGCGTACAAGATAAACAAAAGGAAAGGTCCCCTTCAACCATCAACCTCACTATTGCACTTAAAAGTCACAGATATAAATACAGGCATCCAGTCTTTCAGTGAGGTCTAGAATATCCATAATCGAATATGACATGAACAAAGTCCTAATCTCTAGTCAATTGAGCCAAATAGATTCATCCTTTATATTTGCTCTAGGACTTGATTCAAAAGTGTCTTAAATTTGTTTTCGACACTAACTCACTAACCTTGTTACTAGAACACATATCTATTGCGGATGAATCTCCTATATCACCATTGACGCCACTTGCTTCATTAGAAACAGAGCTCAATAACCACGGAGACATTTTTTTGTTTATACAGCTATCTGTCTCGGCATTAGTTTGCAACTGGACAGATCTTGGGAGCACAAGAGTGGAGCAAGCTTTGCGAACAGAATGCAGAAAAGTCTCAGTTCCACTTGCTGCTTTCTTCCCCTTGTCCTTGCCCAAGCTGGGAGATTCGTAATTGCCACAAAGGAGCTCATTCAATGGAAGATCTTCTATAAGTTTTGTGACATCGTGATTATCTGACTTCAGTCCATAAACTCCTGCATTAATTCAATTATCAATGTAACAGGTAAGAACGGACTCATAAAATGCAAAAGGAGGAATAAATTGTGGATCATTTATAAACTAATGCATTCTTCTTAACATATACGAGAAAAGAAACAAAATAGTATAGTTAAGATAAACTGAGGCCCGTTCATGTCACCGATTCGAGTTTTGCTACAGTAAATAGCTCTCAGAAACAGTCACATTTAACTTTTTTGCTACAGTAAAAAGCTCTCACATAAAGTCACATCTCAACTCGAATCAGCGAACTAAACGAGCCATGACTACATAAAACATTTAAGGAGAAGAAAATAAAAAAGAGGATCAACAACGACACAAACCCAATCTACATAAACCTGTATATATACAATTAAAACACTAAAAACCATGGAATTATTAAATAGCGTTAGCACGAAAGAGGAACATCATATTTATCATACCAAAGAAGTTGTTCCCTCCAGCAGCTGAACCAAAGTTTGTCAAACTCGCCTTCACTGAGAAAGACTCATATTTAGTCTTTATAGGGACTCTCGAGCTTCTCTTGTCAACTCGCTTGCTGATGTTGTTCTTTTGTTTCACCAATTGAGTTTTCTCTACATGCACAATACAGAAAAAAGAAAACCAAATATAAGCTTTACACTATTAAATTCTAAAAATTTCAAAAAGGATGCACAATTTAAAATATGAACTTCATTTAACGAGCCTAGAAAGTAAAAGAATCTTATCCAATTGCCTCAAAGTAAAAAACTAAACGAACAAAACAAATACCAACAGGAATATTGTTTATCTTTTAAATGCTTAGATGGCAAAGCAATCAAAAATACAAAAGCACCGAAAAAAAAAAAAAAAGAACTTTATAAGTGGAATAGTTTTTCCATGTTTCCACCTCACTTCTTCATTATCAAATGTGTGAAATATTGCATAATCCCTTTAGATGTGTGGGCCGGAAAATATGAATTTACTTTTTATCAGATATTGACTTAAAGTTATTTAAGTCTGATATATTGATTAGGTAATTTAGCTGAAGAAATGCACTTCAGGGAACACGACGAACCAAGCTTTTGCGATAGATCCTTTATCCCATCAACTCCAGCTACGGGAGGATCTTGCAATTGAACCACACGTGGCCTTTTGGAACATAAACTACTACTCCTTGACACCTTTCCTGCTTTCCGTTCTAACTGTACACCCTCGACCTTGGGAGTCAACAAAAGACCATTCTTGCATCTGTCATGAAAGCCTCCAGATGAGGCTTCGCCCTGATTTCTGGGTAGCTGCTTATCCTGCTTACGTGGTCCAGAGCCAAGAATCTTATCCCAGGAAGCCAACTCTGAAGCATCAATTGCACGTACTGCAGCTGACATAACCAGATTTTCAAACAACAGAAAAGTGACAGAGTAGCAGAAAGACGATGCAATTAAAAGAATACTTTATAGACCTCATTATTTCCATAAAGAAAGAAAGTAAAGGTTTGTGTTGGTAGCCAACTAGATTGTCACCAAGAGGCCAATCTGGTCACTGATACAACTTTATTATATCACCCATAATTTTTCTTTGCTTGAAATATTATATGACGCATAGTTAATTTCATTAAAATTCCTTATATACACGTGAGAATACATGTTAAAATAGTTTGCAAAGAAGCTCAAAATGAAAAGTAGGTGCCATCGTATACCTAAAAAGGAACATTCTGCAAGGAAGTATCTCTGCCAAGAACGACATATTAAGCTAATCTTCCATCTTACACAGTCCCACTTCCACATAAACTTTATGATAATGACTATTTGGCAAACGACATGAACAAGTTATACATTCAAATCCTAGGAGTATAAGAGCTCCTCAAATCATGCCCCAAAACTCCATAGCCTTCAGACTTATGGTCTGCTGAGATGAACTGATAACGATGGAGCATTATTTTGTTAAATGACCATTATTACACCACAGAATTACCAGGTGGATAACAACCCAAATAATAGTCGTTACACCTCAAACCATTTACTAGCTTCTCCAACACCATGAACAAGAACCAGAGTGAAAATATAACTGTATAGCATATGTTTTCCTTACTCTCAGAAACCAAGTCTTGAGCCGAACATAAAAATAAAAATTTCTCATCAAGTCAAGTAACCTGACAAATTAATGGACATAAAGAAAACAAGACGGCCAAATGAGAAAGAAATAAAAAAGGAAAGATATATATGTGTGTGTGGGTGTGTGTATATATATAGAGAGAGAGCGAGAGAGAGAGAGCTAATATTGCATCCAATTTCCCTCTTCTACTCTGTCCCCCTAACTCCCGAAAAAATTGCACAGCCTTAAAATTAGGGAAACCTATATTTTGATTCTGAAAAATACATGCATCAAAAGAAAAAAGTCAAAGATGCTGTCGAGCTCACCTTTTTCACTTAGAAAAGAGCTGCAACACTCGATTGAGGAAGGGCTGACGACAACCGAAACACGGTCGGAATCGCAAGCCTCGAGCTCCTTCACCGTCACCGATCCCATCAGCTTCGGAGCCGCCGCGACGTCCACCGGATAGGGCAACTCCACCGCGTCCATAGCCGACAAAGCTAAGCCAAAACCGCCGCCTTTTTCTTAACCCTAACCACCTCGAGAGGAATCAAATCCGCGCCAGGAAGCACCATCTCGGCATGCTAGAAAACGAAATTCCGGCGGAAAATTGAGCCAAGAGAAGTGATTGCGAGCTGAGAAAACGAGGGAAAGTGAGGGTTTCTGGAGTCGACGAGCATGTGTGCGGCGAAATCAGAAATGGGGATTTTTCTAGGGCACGAAATTGGAAGGAAAAAGAAGTATTTATACTTTTCGGGAAAAGAAGACTTGTGTTTGGAAACAAATCGTCGATGAGGAATATTCCGGTGAGGTTAATTTCAGAGTAATCCACATCAAACCTCTTTTCTTTTTTTTTTCTTTTTTTGTTTTATTTTGTCTTCGGACACCTTGTACTTTTCAAAGGGCTTAGAGTTGACGTGGCATATCCAATTACACGTGAAACAAGAGAGAATAATCACATGCTTTGGGACTACTTTCTTATTATGCAATGGGAATCCGCCACGTTTTGTGTTTCCTAATCTTCTCGTTTCTTCAGTGGGTTGGAATGGATTGGACTCTAATTACTAAAATATCCTCATGTCTGACGTTAGTACGCGTGCTCACCATTCGCTTGGAGGGCTCGGCTGTACTGGAATGTTTAGATTTGTTTGTCTTGCTAAGTGTTAAACTCAAAATTACGATCATACCACCAAGATCGGGTGTCTTCTGGTTAACTCTCTATCCGTTAGTGTAACTTCCGAATTTAATCGACGGACAGGCTTTAATCATGAGTGGTTCTTCGTAGGGTGAACATTGAGTGGTTAGTTGGGTTTTAAAAATTTTTCAATTCACCGAATTAAGTTTGGGTGGGTTGATTTTAAAAAAAAATTTAAGAAAATTATAGAATTTATCTTTAAGAGTATATAAATTTATACTTTTACTTATTATTCTTGATAAATACTATTTTGTTAGTATAATTATTTGACTGAAAAGATTATGAATCACGAGTAAATGGTAAAAATTATGATTCATGCACTTTTAATGGGTATTTGTCAAGATTACCCTTTTAAATTTAACCCACCAACAACCTAAAGTTTAAAATCAACCCATCCAATTAAATTTTGGGTGGATTGGGTTTATTGATCGATTGAGCATAGTAAAGAAATAAAAAAATTAATAATTCATCTTAAAATAAGAAATATATGAAAAGAATCAATTAAATTTTGGGTGGATTGGGTTTATTGATCGGTTGAGCATAGTAAAAAAATAAAAAAATTAATAATTCATCTTAAAATAAGAAATATATGAAAAGAAAACTAACTTTTATCATAATATTAGTCTTATAAAGCTCAAAATTGTCTCATAAGTCATAAACTAATATAAAAAATAAAATATATGCAAAACAAATTCAAATATATAAGTTCTAGACCGACCAATAAACAAACAATAACACCAACTCATACAACATAAAACATAATAAGTTGTAAAGTAATTAATATAAAATATAAAACAAATACTATATATTATGAGGCAGGAAAATAGTATATATAAATAGATTGGGCGGGTTCGGGCTAAGTTGGGTTAAGAAAAACTTAACCCAAACCCACCCAATTAATAGTCGAGTTGGGTGTGTTAGGTTGATCTCTTGATCGGGTTGGTCATGTTTGGGTTATAATGAGTTGGGTTGGGTGGGTTACTTGGGGTTCGTCGGGTTGTCTAGTTTTTTGTTCAGAATCAAAAGATTTGCATCAAACCTTTTTTTTTGGTAGGGTAGAATTCATTTTTTTCCTTCGAAAAAAAAAAACTTTCTTTTTTGAGCATATTATTTCATTGTTTCAAATTTATGGTAGGGTAGAATTCATTTTTTTCCTTCGAAAAAAAAAACTTTCTTTTTTGAGCATATTATTTCATTGTTTCAAATTTAAAAAGTTTGATCCGCTTCAGAATATTTTTAGGAAAATTCTACTATAGAAAATGACGTAGTTTTTTTTTTATTCTCCAACACCTTGTACTTTTTTTGGGTGGGTGAAGGTTCACACAGATAGTTCAGCTAAAAAAGCTCCTAGCCCAATTATTTGTGGGAATATTTTCAAGAATGCTAGGGGGTTTGTTTGTGGTTGTTTCAATATCTTTCGTGGGGAAGGTTTTGCTTTTGAAGTGGAATTATAGGCCGTGATTAATATCATTTCTATTGCTAACGAGAATGATTGGTGTAAGTTGTGACTTGAGAGTGATTATTCCTTGATCATTTCTCTTTTGAGTTTTAAGTCTTTGCAGGCTCCTTGGAGGCTTCTTAATGACTGGAGCAAGGCTCTTTCTTTGTCCAAACTGATGGATTTTCGTTTTTCTCTTGTGTATCATGAAACCAGTAGATGGCCCAATTACTTGTGGGAATATTTTCAAGAATGCTAGGGAGTTTGTTTGTGGTTGTTTCAGTATCTTTCTTGGGGAAGGTTTTGCTTTTGAAGTGGAATTATAGGCCGTGATTAATATCATTTCTATTGCTTATGAGAATAATTGGTGTAAGTTGTGACTTGAGAGTGATTATTCCTTAATCATTTCTCTTTTGAGTTTTAAGTTTTTGCAGGCTCCTTGGAGGCTTCTTAATGACTGGAGCAAGGCTCTTTCTTTGTCCAAAATGATGGATTTTCATTTTTCTCTTGTGTATCATGAACCAGTAGATGTGCTGATAAGCTTGCTAATCTTGAAATTATTAGAGCATCTCTAATGCAATGTTATAATTGATATGCCAATTGTAAATTTAACATATGAGTGCAAAACACACACTCCAATGCAATGTTATTTGTTGTGCTAAATTTTCCATATACTATACTTTGTGACAAATTTCTCATAAAGTATGACATATGAGAAATTTGACATTTGATGGCTATTGATTGAAATTTTTACTTTTTCATGTAATCATTGTAACTTTTTCATTTTATAATTATTTTAAACATAAAAGCTTACTTTTACAACTTTCTGAGCTTAATAATTAGGGACCTTCTCTGGTACATCAACATACAGATAGGCTAAGTTTTCTATCCGTCATATCTGCATAAAATCACGTAAAAGTCAAAAAGTACACAGATTTAACGGTTAAAAATACACGGTCTACTGGTACGCTAGACGTACCAGAGAATCTCCCTAATAATTATATAAAAAAGTAGATTTTGCATTTTAAATAGTATTATGCATTAGAGTAAAAGTAAAAATAACATATCATATCAAACTTTTTGATAATAAATATACAATTGACATTAGCATTTGCATTAGAGATGGTCTTAATTGTAATAGGATAGATGGTCTCATTATCCTTTATCTTGGAGTTTTATGTGTATAGGAATTATACAAGTTTATCATTTTACATATGTACTTAATTTTTAAAGTGTTTGTAATTTGTTTTTTTTTTCTTCTTTTCTCTAATAATATGAGCCCCAATTAAGGTGGTATTCATTCAAAAAAAAGTCACCAACTGTGATACCTAGATTTCTCACATACTAGTTGGCCAATGCATTGCATGATTTTACATTTATATGCATATGAGTTATATGCTTGATCGTCATCAAGGTGCATGATCAGGTTGATAATGTGCATTTAGTGTTAAATGTGTATATTGTATTCATAAGTTATAAGTTTTCTTGAAGGTGAATCCTGTAAGTGGGAATGAAGGAAAAGAAGTTTAAGGATGATTTTATATGAAACTTGATAGGTAACGGAGCTCAAATATTTTAAAAGTAAAAAAATGAGTAAAAACAGTCGACTTTAGATGTAACAGGAAGGTTTAATATGCGTTTTGTTGGGTGAATAGACCTAAATATAGTAAGGGACATTTTATAATGAGTGTGTAAGTGGATAAGATTGATTACGAAGGGTTGACATTAGTTTCACATGAATTATAGGGTGTGACTACTCTAGAAACCCTAGTTTGACACAATTTTCAGCGTTTGGACTTTCGAGCCTAGATTAGAGTTTTTGAAAGTTATGGTTGCTTTAGAAGTTCATTAGGGCGTGTTTTATAATGTATGGAAGGTTTTAGAAATATTGGGTAAAGTTTTGATTATGAATGGTTTAAGATTTATAGATGACATATATAACATACAAAAAATCGGTACGAGAACATACGCTTGATTTGGTAAGAAAAATAATAGGTTATGACTTAAGGTGTACTTGGACTTTTGTATGTGTTTTACACTTTAAAGAGAGAAGTTAGCTCCTGGAAATTTGACACAATGGCAGTTTAGGTGATAGTACTTCACGGTGAAGTACTTAAAGGTGGTTGCTAGGTTGTTTAAGAAGTTTATTAAGCAAGTGGCTTAAGTTATCAGCCCTAAAAACTCTAAGTCCGACTCTCCAACCTCTGAAAAATCCATTTCCAGTAAGGCTCAAGTGAGGATAAGAGAAATCTTTGGTGGTTTAGTAAGTTTTGGGGCTTAATCGTAAGAAAACTCAAACTAGGGTAAGGTAAGCCATTGTTTTGGTGTTAGCTCTGTGTTCAAGTCTGTTCAGGGAGTTTCCCTTTGAATTTTGCTATGAAAATTGAACAACATGATCTCTTATGTGTCAGGAGGATCCCCATAAAAAGGCATAAGCAAATTCAATAGGAAAGTGGTGGTTTAAGGTTCATTTGTGGAAGCTGTCCAGAAATAGGATTGTTTCAAAACTGGTTCAAGTTTGTACTTGGTTTCCTAGGCTAGGAAGCTTTTTTTGATCTAAATTTCTCTGGGCATGTTCATTTATATGTTAACTAAATGCCACTAAAACAGTTTTGGCAAGTTCAATTTGATTTGGGAGTTAAAACCTAAAATATGAGGCTGGTCCAGTTTGTGGTATTGGATGAATTTGTGGTTTCAAGATGTTTTGTGACTTTTAGTGAATTTAAATTTGTTTAAGTTGCAAAATAGGTGTGGAGAAACTCTGCCAAAATTTTTAATAAAAAAATTTGACTTAATTTGGATAAAAAAATGAGGGAGTTAGGCCATGTTTTGGGGTGCCCGTGCACCAAGCCACACCATGCAAACACATGGGCCCAGTGGGCAGGCCCGTGTGTGCGCAAGAAGGCCAGGAGCGCCCAGTCAGGCACGCCCTGACTCGGCCAAATGACCTAGTCAAGGGTTTTCAGGGCCCTGGAGTCCTTTTTTGGTGCCGTTTCTTGTGTATGAGTCCTGTAAACCCCTATTTTTTTATGATTATCACTTAAAATAATTATTTAAAATATTATTTTAATTATTTAAATATTTAAAAAAATAGTAAAAATTAGAAAAATGAGCTCTTTAATGCATAATTGTTAGTCATTATTGGTCGGGTGATAATGTTAGTTAAAATACTCAATGTTTCAGACGAATGGAACACCAGATTCCCTAAGAGGATAC